ATGGGTGAGGTCTGAGGGCCACACTTTGAGTAGCCAAGTCTTAGAGTTCGTGGTTGCAAAGCTCACGTTCTTCCCTGGATGTTTAATGAGCACCTATTATGTACCAAGCTTTGTTGTCATATTGACCTCATCTGCTGTAAGGCTGGAGCAAGAGCTTCACCGCTCTGAGTCTCTGGATCCTTTTCTGTAAAAATGGGCTCATGAGGGTAATAGTGCAGGGCTGTTGGATGGTTGCACAAGTACAACAACAACAACAACAACAACAGAAATAACAATGACTAGCATCTGTGAGCCCTTCCTCTGTCCTATGTGTCTTCCATACACAGTCTCTTTTCATTATTCCCACCAGCTTGGTGGGGGCACTAATGAAATGCCCACTTACAGGCATGAGGGGCACAGCTTACTGGTTCAGGGCACCCGCCAACGTAAAGCCTGCCGCACAGTCTGGCCCCACCAGCTGTGTGACTGTGGGCAAGGCACTCAAATGGAGTTCAGCCTCCGTTTCCTCCTCCATGAAATGAGAAAACAAAAGGCCAATATACCTCAAGATTCAGCGGCTTATGTTCTCAAAAACTGGTGGTGGCGCCGAAGCCGGTTTGGCTCAGTGGATGGGGCGTCAGCCTGCGGACGGAAGGGTCCCGGGTTCGGTTCCGGTCAGGGGCATGTGCCTGGGTTGTGCGCACATCCCCAGTGGGAGATGTGCAGGAGGCAGCTGGTCGATGTTTCTGTCTCATCGATGTTTCCAACTCTCTATCTCTCTCCCTTCCTCTCTGTAAAAAATCAATAAAATATATTTTTTTTTAAAAAAAAGCCAAATGATGTATTATAACTATTTTGTGATGTTCAAGATCCGTAAATAGAATCCCTGGGTTATAATCCCAGTTTTGCATAAATATTTAAGCATCTGTACCTTGGCAAATACACAATTCATATTATAAATCATTATATTAAATAACTATATTTATTAAGCTTTCGTTAACAAAAGAAACAAAGTATTTGATCCAGCATTTATTTATCACTCACCTTACTGTGCCTTATCAGGTTCTATACCAACCCCTGCAGTTCTCGGCAAGAAATAAAAGAAACCTGGCCAACTCCTCCCCCTCCCCACAATATAACCCTGTTCATTTACCCTCTGTCACTTATTCCTTTGGACAGTGTGTCTCCGAGTGTGGTCCTAGACCAGCAGTGTCAGCATCACTTGGGAGCTTGTTAGAAATGCAAATGCTAGCATCCCACCCCAGACCTGCACAAGGAGCCCCAAGGTGGGGCCCTTCCAGCAGTCTGTGGTTTAATAAACAACCCAGGTGATTCTCGTGCTCAGGGAGTTTGAAAAGCACTGCCCTAGGATTGGCCAATGTTCTTGCCTCATAATTGGCATTTCAACTGCTAAAGCAAGGGCAAGCTAAACTGTACTTTCTTGATATTGCGGCCTCTGAATTCTTTCCCTCACCATTGTCCCCACCCTTTAAAATCTTAGCATTTTGGAGCTGGGAGCACTGTAGGGTTACTTAGTTCTAGGCTTACAGCGCTGTGTGCAATGGGGAGATTGAGGTTTAGAAGAGCTAAGCTCATTGCTTTATCATACAGTTCTTATCTAGAACCCTGTCCAGTGTTCTTTCTAACACATTCATTACTTTACGTAGCTATGATGTGTCTGTCATCTTCTTCCTGCCTTCCTTTCCCTTGTTCTTTCATTTGTTTGTTTGTTTATTGCCGTCTCATTACTTCCATCTGCCTTACCTCAAGTCCAGCACTCCTTTTCTTCTGTAAGGCTCTCTGTTTTCTGGGTTATTTGTTGCTTATAATATTGATCCCAGTGAGAAAATTAATAGTTTCTGCCTATATTGGTTCTCTTGTTTTTAAAGTTAGATTCATTTTGAGCAAACTGTTGCCTCTTTGGCTACTACTAAAGTGATGTTAAACCTGTCAAAATGATTGTTGGGTTTTTATTTAATTTTTATTTTAGTACCCAGATTAATTGGTAGGGGATTTCTACTGGAGACAGTAAAATAATCAGGCTTAGAATAAAGGTGACCAGTACAATTTCCCCTGCTGGTTGATTAATCGCTTATGTTCTTGTTGGACATTCTGTATTAGTTGGACATTATCTATATCATTTGCCTTTTTAAAAAAATAGTCCTATTCTGTAACCTCTTAGAATTGTTTATAAAAATCAGAGAATAGCTGTATGGTTTTGGTTGCAGTTTTAAACCAGTGGTGTCACCTCTAGTGCTTCTTCAGAGACGGTGCTCAAATAGACTGCTACCCACTAGAAACCTCTGGCTATTCTCAAAAGACACTGAAGCTTTAAAAGTAATAGAATTAATTAAGTAGAATCACTGTATTCAGCATTTATGGTCTCTAAATTGTAAATTGTGTGTCCTTTAGTTTGCCAGATTATTTCACTACATGTTTTTGGAGAAAAGGTTTATCTTTTCAATCATGACTTTATTCTCCCATGAAACCCATTTTTATCTCTAAATTGTGGGTTCATGAAGGATCTTGATTCATCTCTGTACCCAGTTATTGTATTTTTGTTATTTGCTCTCCTGGGATACTCTTAACAGGAGTTAATACTTTGTATGTAATTAGGTATACTGCTTTATGTCTTTAGCTCCATGTAATCATATCCTTGTCTCCTCAATTTATGGAGCTGAGTTGCTGGTCTCAGTGGGCTGAAAGAAGTGATGAATCTTAGCCAGATTCCAGGCTCAGTCCAGCATTTCAACTTGGCTATTTAGCTGTACAGCAAGCAGATTTCCCTATCTCCATTCCCATCAGCCAGGTCCCATCAGAAATGTTTAAAGAAGCTCTGTGTGGTTTATTATCAAATTACCCAACATCAATCTGTCCCCAGTCAACTGAGCTATAAGCTCTGTTGTCCTGTGTGAAAAAGCAGAAGTTGCTGCTCTGCACAGCTCAGCCCTTTGCCGTAGACCTTCCATGTCAGTGCAGGATTCTAACTCTGTGGTGCTTAGCAGGCTCTGACACTGAACTGTATTTTCTTGCATTCTTTGCTGAAATCAGCTAGGTAAGAAATTTATGAACTTCCTCCTCCCAAGCATTTAACCTTACTTAAATAAAAATATGGCTGGTAATTCATCAGTCACCAGCTTTTGAGGAAGTGGTGGTTACTTAAAATAAAGCATTTGACTCTGAAAATGCATTCTTCTTGAGAGGTTATCATAGCCCACTTGTCTATCCCCTTAGCACAGGACTGTTTTATAAATCCACATTTAAAACGCATAACTGTCTTCTGATTGCCTCCCTCATAGAAATTGAACTTGGCTTTCGTGGAGCCAATGGACTGTATTCAGAGTCAGTGCATATAAATTTGTGTTAACTGGACATAAACA